CAGGCATGGCTCACAGCCATCTGTACTGTGATGGTTCATGACTTCTGTGGACACCAGGCATGGCTCACAGCCATCTGTACTGTGATGGTTCATGATTTTTGTGGGCACCAAGCATGCACACGATGAAGACAAAACACACAGAAAATAAAATTAATGAATCTGATTTAAAAAAAAAAAAAGTTTTAAAAAGCCAGGCGTGATGGTGCACGCCTTTAATCCCAGCACCCAGGAGGCAGATCTGAGTTCAGATCTGAGTTCGAGGCCAACCTGGTCTACAGAGCAAGTTCCAGGACAGCCAGGGCTACACAGAGAATCCTTGTCTCAAAAACAAAACAAAAATGTAAGAAGAAACACTTGCAACCCCTTTTATCCAGTAAATCTTTATGTCACACTGGGTATATAGATACATCAAATAAGTGTAGACATCGGACAGTTGTTAGGCTAGGGAGAGGGCTGAGTGAAGTGTAAGGACTGAGTTTGGATCCCCAGTACCCCATAAAGCCAGATGCAGTAGGACGGGCCTGTTACCCCAGTGTCCTGTAGCACAAAGGGAGGTGGGCAGAGGAAATCCCCAGCAGCTCATGGTCCAGCCGATTGGGAGTATGCGGTGGCAAATGAGAGAGCCTGTCCCAAACAGTTGAAGGGGAAGACCAGTACCCAGGGCTGCCCTCTGTCCACATGCACACCCACAAACACACAACACGCACAAAGATGGGAAACTCGGCGTTGGCTGAACGTTTGATGCTGTAGGACACAGCATCTTCAGAGTTGACTTATACTTTGATTCTGTGGTCATAAGTGCTAGGTCATAAGCATAAGGTCATCTCTGCTTTATGTACATGTGTCCAGCATGGCAGGAGTTTGTGTAGAGCCATTGAAGAACTTTGGAATCCTGTCCATGGTTTTACTGAATGCTTTTTATGAAACTCAGGTCAGGTTTCTGTGAAACTCAGCAATTTTTAGTCATTTATCTCTTTGTTTGTTTATTGTAAGGAAGAGTCTCTCTATTATGTAGCTCCAGCTGACCTGGAATTCACTATGTAGACCAGGCTAGCCTCAGTCTCTCAGAGATTCACTTGGCTTTGGTCTCCTAAGTACTGGGATTAAAGTGTATGCCACCACACCTGGCTTATTTTTATTTTTGTTTTTAAATTTTGAGACAGGGTCTCACTATATAACCCTGTCTGGCCTGGAACTTACTGTGTAGACCGGGCTGGCTTTGAACCCACAGAGATCCACTGCCTCTGTCTCTGTAATTCTGGGATTAAAAGTGTGGGCTGCCACTCCCAGCCTCAAACTGCAATTTAAAAAAAAAAAAAATCAAACATTGTAACATAATACAACCAAAAAATATTTATTTGATACTTGCAGGATAAAGAATGATGATAAGGGAATGTTTGAAGTCTTTTCCCCCCAGAATTAAACCATCTTGTTTGCATAAGAGTGTCCAGCCACATTGAAGGGATGGAGCCAAGGGCATCTTATTTCCTGGGAGAGAAATCTAAATTCACAGACCAGAGAGAAACAGCAGATAGCTTTGAATATAACATCGGTGAGGGCCAGGTCAGGGTGTATGTAATCAGGCTAGCCTGAAAGAGGGAGAGAGGTCAGGGCCAAGGGTGCGAAGCCCTGGACTGATGGACATCTTTGATGCAGCTTCTCAGATGCCAGTGGGAGGAAGGCAGGAAGTAGAGATGGTGCTGCATTCTGTGTCTGGTTGCCTCTTCCAGGGTATGTCGGAGACCTTTGAGACACTGCACAACCTAGTCCACAAAGGTGTCAAGGTGGTGATGGACATCCCCTATGAGCTGTGGAATGAGACCTCGGCTGAGGTGGCCGACCTCAAGAAGCAGGTTAGAGCCTTTCAGCCTATTACACTCAGTGGGGCGGGTAGGGCTGGCTGAGGAAGGCTACCAAGAGCCATTCCTCTGTCTGTCTGTCCATCTGTCCGTCTGGCCATCCATCTGTCCATCCATCCATCCATCCATCCATCTGTCCATCCATCTATCCATCTGTCCATCCACCCACCCATCCATTGGGGATGGGTTCTCACTATGCAACCCTGGCTCACCTGGAACTCACTCTGTAGAACAGGCTGGGCTCAAACTCAGAGTGATCCACCTGCCTCTGCCTTGAATACCGGGGTAAAGGCGTGCGCCACCATTTCTGGCACCTTTTTACTTTTGCCTCAGTTTCCCCAGGCGAGTCATACCTGCCCGCCTATCTCTGTGGGTCATGGTGTGGCCAGGTGCCCTGGGAGAGAGCCGGGTGCCTGGTCTTTGCCAGTCCCCGGTGCTGTACTTCACAGTGTGACGTGCTGGTGGAGGAATTTGAAGAGGTGATTGAGGACTGGTACAGGAACCACCAGGAGGAGGACCTGACTGAATTCCTCTGCGCCAACCACGTGCTCAAGGGCAAGGACACCAGTGAGTGAGGGCGGGAGGGGGCGGGCAGTGTCTCCATCATCTGCCCACCCTCAGGAGGTGGGTGGCAAAGTTGGGGAGTAGAGGGCATCTTGCCCTCGGGAGCTTGATGAGATAAGGTGAGGTCGTGGCGCAGAGCCGGAGAACTGAGTCTGGTGGCCACAGGGAGTGATGTGGAGATGGGCGAGAGGCCCCTCCCGGCAGCCGCCAGCGAGCTGCTTCGGGAGCCTCTCTGCACCTTCCCTCAGGTTGCCTGGCAGAGCGGTGGTCTGGCAAGAAGGGGGACATCGCCTCCCTGGGCGGGAAGAAATCCAAGAAGAAGCGTGGCAGGGTCAAGGGCTCCGGGGACGGCAGCAGCAAGCAGAGGAAGGAGCTAGCGAGCCTGGAGGGGGACGCCAGCCCCGAGGAGGAGGAGGGGGTGCAGAAGGCGTCCCCCCTCCCACACAGCCCCCCTGATGAGCTGTGAGCCCAGCGTAGCGTCCTCGAGTCAAGACCCCTGACTTCAGAGCTAAAGAGCATGGGACGCGCCTCCAGCAAGGATGGCTGCTGTCCAGCTTCAGGTCTCCTACCTTGGCTGTGCCCTCTTCCTGCCCTTGAGCAACAGCAAGAAGTGGACTGATGTGGGGGTGGGAGACCCCATCCCCAAAGGGAAGAGGAGGAGGGTGTACAGAAGGCAGCTCTCTTCCCACACAGCCCCTGTCGTGAGCTCTGGGTCCAACCCAGCATCCCCAGACTGAGACCCCCGACCTTGAAGCTGAAGAACACGAGGCACATAAATCGCCTCCTCCAGCGTCAGGTCTCGGACTCGCCTGTACCCTCTTCACCAGGATGGACGCAGCCTCAGGAAGGACTTAGCAAAGCATGGCAGCCACACTTGCCTCTCCCTCCACCAAGCCTTCTCTTCTGCTGGGTCCTTGGTCAGGTCATGCGTTTCAGAACTTCCAGGCAAAACAAAACAAAACAAAGCCTTCTCTTCTGCTGGGTCCTTGGTCAGGTCATGCGTTTCAGAACTTCCAGGGTGAGCTCAATGTGGTGTGGTACAAGGGGCTGGGCACCAGACCTGGGGCCACTCCAGAGCCTGCGGAGAGGGCACCTCACCTGACCTGACCCCACGGGGAAGCAAACTGCAGCCACAGCAGCGCCCCATCTCCATCCACTCCTGAGGACAACTCACACTCTGCCCAGCCCTCCTCCCCAGGGCTACCAGAGTAAACACCTTTTGGCCTTTTGGTTCTGGTTCCTGGGTCCTCTTCAGCCTCCAGAGTGTCCCCTGGTTGCTCTTTTCTGCCTGTCTCCCCCAGTCCTGAGGGCTGGGAAGTGATGAAGCTGCCACCCTCGTTGGAGGCTTAACCTGCCAGGTACTGGGAGGAGCGGGTGCCAACAGTGCCCAGGGTTGGTTTGGGTTGAAGCAGTGGTTCTCATCCTTCCTGATGCTGCAACCCTTTAATACAGTCCTCATGTTCTGGTGGCGCCCCCTCCCCAATCATAAAATTATTTTCGTTGCTACTTCATAACTGTAAAGTTACTACAGTTAGGAATCTTAGTTTTGGATTTTTGGCAATAGAGGTTTGTCAAAGGAGTCACGGCCCACAGGTTGAGGACCATTGGGTTAAAGGTGGCACGGGGTAAGGTCTGGCATGGCGTCTGACCCTCATAGAGCAGCGCCCATGCTTCCCCAGGCCCTTCCCACTCTACTCCCCGGTGCCGCCTGTGCACTGTGTCCTGGGCACCTGGCTGCCCTCCTTCCCTCCCTCTCTGCCCCAAGGCTTTGCTGTCCCTGTGTGAAGAGTGGTTGCCGTCACCCCTCCCGCCGAATTCTGCCCTCGCCTGTTCTTGGACCTTGCTCCCTAATTGATCCCATTTGCTCCCTCTGGTCTTCCTAGTAGTGCTGGACATTCAGTCTCCTAACCAGGCCTTGGTTAAGCCCTGCTCTCCCAGGCAGGCAGGAAGAGGAGGCAGGCAGGAAGAGGAGGGCCGCCTTCTAGGCAGAGCAGGCAGGAGCGCACACACCCCTGACTCTGTGCTAGGATGGGATGGAGTGTGCATCAGGGCAAGGTTGGTAACTACGATGTTGCCAGCTGTTCGAGCATTCACTCCCAGCTTTAAGACGCCTGCGACGTGAGTTCCGTGAAGATGGGCTCAGCCAGCGAACCTAAGGCCCTCCTGTTCGTGAGAAGAGCTGGGCTCAGACTCCACTGCCCATAGCTACCAAGACTTCCTTCCGTACCCGGCACTCAGAATAATTCCTATTCAGCAGCTCGGGTTTCTTGGCCTTGACCTACCACTCTTGAAAATACCAAGACAGTTGATCCCAGCACCTCGGGTGGCTGAGGCGGGGAGGTTGCAGTTTCAGATCCAACCCGGATAAAGAGCTAGTTCCCAACTCAGACCCTGTGCGTCACAGAAGGGCGGGGAGACAGCACATTGTCAGGGGAAGCGTCCGCCAAGCCCAGGAGAAGCCCTGTGTTCATTTGGGGTGGATCGGTGGCAGGGTGCGGGCGGCCCTGGGTTCAACCCCAGCACTAGCAGAAAGGAAGGCAAGAAGCAGCTGCTGCTTGAAAAGCGTCCCCAGAACTCAGCCCTGGCCAGACTATCCACAGACCCCATACTCCTGAGCTGATTGGGGTGTGGTACAGAGAGGCTCCAGCACCCACCGAAGCTCCTGGGATGAGGCCCCTTTCCTCTGAGTTGGGACCCAAGTGTGGAGAGTGAAACAAAGTGGAAGTCGCCTTTGAGGGGTCCCGTTTGGTCTAGCTGCCTGTTCCTCTCCAAGACTGATGAGCCCAGTCGTAAGCGACTGGTGGTCAGGAGATTTCAGTCTAGAGTCAGGACTTGTCCTGGACTTGGCTCTGAGATTAGGGGTTGGGTAGGGAGTGGGGCTGGAGCCTGGGGTTAGGAGTCAGGGAATCTAGTTCATCCTGTTGTTAACCCACAGCACTTCAGGGCATATCTTAACCTGTCCACAGAGCATCATTGATCTAAGAGCAGAATGAAGCAAAGCCCTGTCAATGTCCAGGGGTGTTGGCCCAGCGACCCAATCCTAGTATGGTCCAGACCTGAGGGCAGTGTGAGGATTGCCACACTTTGACCTGAGCTCTTGTAGGAACGGTTCCCTGCCTCCCAAGGACCTGGTATCACCCTCACTGCTCCCCTGCCACGGCCCACCCCAGCAGGCCGACCTGGCCCAGTGCAGATAGGCAGAGGCAGGATCTGGCTGCCCAGGCAGCTCTTTCCACTGTTTATAGAAACCTTTGAGTTTGGGTGTTGATAACACTTTCATAACTTCCCACCCCAGCCACATTAGCTGGAGCTGGAGTCAGGCCTGTTTCCTCATCAGAAACCTTTGATAAGAGTGGGAGAATGGCCTGGAGTGCTTAGTGCTTATTGGGTGGGTCTCCTGGAGACCAACTGGACTCAGTGTGCATGCGTGTGGATGTGTTTACGGGTCTCTCTGGCACAGGCTGACCTAGGTGGGATTTACTAGCCAAGGCTGGCCCTGAAGTTGTGAACCAGCTGTGCCACGAGCACGCACCATGTCCTGTTCTTGTGGACTAAGAGATGAAGCTGGGTGGAACCCACACCACCATTTGGAAATAAAGTAGCAAGACCCTAGTGAAGTCACTCTGTGCCCAGGGCTTGTCCTCAGAAGTGACTTGACAGTTATCAATGTGATCCCATCGATTGACTGGAGCTGGGGATCAAGCCCAGGGCCTGCCGTGTGAGGGGAGTGGTTTTGCCCTGAGCTACATCCCCTTACAGTCGTTCTATGGTGGCATTTCTCCAGCAGCTTTCAAGTCCCTGAGCACTTCCCAGACCCTCGGCACATTCAAAGAGTGTTAAGGGATCCCCTGCTCTCTTAAGTACTCTTTTCTGGGGTGCGGGGTGGGTTTGGGTAAGGGGGTGGGTGGGTGAGGTGGAGGTGGAGTAATGAAGGGAAAAATGAAAATGTGTCCTACGCTGCTTAGCTTTTCAAATCTATCCAGCCAATCCTGCATGAGGATCGCCCTGGCAAGCCATGACTATACAGCAAGACTTTGTCTACACACACAAAACAAAACAAAACAAAACAAAACAAAACTACAAAGTAGGTCTGGTGTGGGGGTGCACACCTTTATTCTCTCTACTTAGGGAGCAGAGGCCAGCGGGGGCTACATAGTGAGACCCTGTCTCAGAATAGAATTAAAAAAAAAAAAAAAGACACTGGGTTCAACAACACCCTCATCCCCAACATTACTAAATAACCTTCCTATCCCCCCCCCAAAAAAAGTTCCCAACAGCACAGGGGTGGTCACGTGTGCCTTCCTGAAGCGAGTGCACAAGGTCCCGCTTCCATTGAGAAGGCAATGGTTTGCTTTGAGGCAGTATCTCACGCTGTAGTCTAGGCTAGGCTGGAACTCACTTATCAGGCTGCTCTCACATTTGTGGAATTCTCCTGCTCCAGCCTCCCAACTCTAGGATTCAAGCCTGAGCCACCATGTCCAGTTAATCCACCATGCCCAGTTAATCCACCATGCCCAGTTAATCCACCATGCCCAGTTAATCCACCATGTCCAGTTAATCCACCATGTCCAGTTAATCCACCATGCCCAGGTTAATTCCTTTTTTTCCTTTCTTGATTTTTGAGATGTTTTCACTTTGTTGCACAGGTCCAGTTAATCCACCATGCCCAGGTTAATTCCTTTTTTTCCTTTCTTGATTTTTGAGATGTTTTCACTTTGTTGCACAGGCTGGCCTTGGATTCCTGAATTCATATGATTTCCTGCCTTTGTTTCCTGAGTAGCTGAAACTATACAGGTGGGTGCAGGGGGCCCATCACGAATACAGTCTTTTAAGCTGGGTATGGGGGCTCATGCCTAGAACCCTAGCATCCAGGAAGCTGAGGCAGGAGGCTTGCTTTCAAAACTAGAATGTCTAGTGCCAGGCCAGCCAGAGCTACGTAATAAAACTGTCCAAAATAGTGCTTCTCAATTGGTGGGTCATGACCCCTTTGGGGCCAAAGGACCTTTTCACAGGGGTCACATATCCAATATCCTGCCTATCAGATATTTACATTATGATTCATAACAGTAGCAAAGTTCCAGTTACGAAGTGGCAACAAAATAGTTTTATGATTGGGACTTACCACAATGTGAACTGTATTAAAGGGTCACAGCATTAGGAAGGTTGAGAACCACTGGTCTAAAACAACAAAAAGACCAGCAAGAAGTCTCAACAGGTAAAAGTGCTTGCTACAAAGTCCGATGACCTGGCCTTGACCTCAGGAATCAGCTCTCAGGTGTCCATGCCATGGCATACTTTTTTTCTAAACACACACACACTCTTTCTTGTTTTTTTGAGACAGGGTCTCTACATAGCCCTGGCTATCCTGGAACTCACTATGTAGACCAGGCTAGACTTGAACTCACAGAGATCCACCTGCCTCTGCCTCCTAAGTGCTGGGATTAAAGATGAATAACCACCACACCCAGCTCCCCAATTTTTAAAACCTAAGTAAGTAAATAAAATGATAATCATTTAGGATGAGATTTGAAAAACGTCTAGGGTTGATAGATTTACTCCAAGAATATTTTGATAAATGACATTGGATTTACTTGAAGTTTCCTCCACAGAGACTAATGTAGCCCGGATTGGCCTTGAACTTTGTCACCTAGAATAACCTTGAACTCCTGCTCTTATCCTCTCAGGCTCTGCTCCAAGCACTGGATTGCAGGCATGCACCATAGCACTCAGCCTTCAGGGCCTTTCTGAGCATAGTGTCACAGACCTGTCTTGAGGGTCACTGAGCCCCGAGGCTGTATTATTTGAGCCTTGACAGAATCATTTGAGATTAACTCTGTACTAACAAAAAGTAAAAATGTGGGCTGGAGTAATAGCTCAACCGTTAAGAGCCCTGGCTGCAGCTGGAAGGTGGTGCTTCACATTTTAGTCCCAGGACTCGGAGGCAGAGGCAGGCAGATCTCTGAGTTCGAGACCAGCCTAGTCTACAGAGTGAGATCCAGGACAGCCAGGACTACACAGAGAAACCCTGTCTGGAAAAGCAAAAAAACAAAACAAAACAAAAAACCCAACCAAACCAACAAACCAAAAGGAAAATTCAAACACTCTCTGCACTTCCAAAGGATCTAGGTTCCATATCCCAGCACCCACGTGATGCTCACAATTGTAACTCCAGTTCCAGGGGATCTGATGCCCTCTTCTGGTCTCCACAGGCACCAGACACACATGTGGCCCCCTGACATCTGTGCAGTCAGAACAACCATACAATACACAGGAAGTTAACAATCACGGGATCGTGGGTATTGGGTATTCTTCCAGCTCCGGGATTCTCCCTGCATCAGAAAGGCTAAGGAAGGGCACTCCTTCATTCTTACGCTCTGACCAATCTGTGAAGTTGGAAGTGTATGAACTTGTGGGGAACGGCTTTCTCCACATCAGAGTCCTGCTGGGATCTTGTCCTTGAGAGAGAAATCTAGGAACCCTGGTTGGGACTAGAAGGGTGAGTAGACGAATC